CCTGCTCCCCCACCCAGGGAGCTCTGGCTGTGGAACACCTTACCCACACCCGGCTCAGCTCCTTCTCCACCTGCTCCAGCTTCTTCTGCTTGCTGGCTGCAGAGTACAGGGCGGTGGCATAGCGCCCTTCCAGCCCGTACACCTGGATGGGCGGCTGTGGGGAGAGAGGGGGTGCTGACAGGGGGCACCTGGGGGGCACAGACCCCCCGACTCCTCACCTTCACCACCTTGGAGATCCCCTGTCCCCTGCCACCTTCACCAGCCTGGAAACCCCCCCGACTCCTCACCCTGACCACCCTGGAGAATCGCCCCCCCCCTTTTGCCCCCCTTCATCTTCACCAGCCCGGACACCTCCCTTGACCCCCTCGCGACCTCCCCTCCTGCCCCCTCACCTTGATCAGCTTGGGGACACCCCCCGTACGCCCTCACGACCCCTCCTGCTCCCTCACCTTGCCCAGCTCGACCCCCCCTGCCCCCTCACGCCCCCTCACCTTCACCAGTTTGGACATCGGCCTCGCCGCCGTCGTGCTCAGCTGCCGCACCTGGAGGGGGAAAAGAGGGATAGCGGCGGGGTCAGCACGGCGCTCGGGGCCTGGCATGGGGGACGTGTTGCCCCCCAGCCCCCCCCAGTTCACCTTCACCGCCGCCGCCGCCGCCATGTTGCCCCGCCGCCCTCAGGGTCACCGCGCACGGCGCAGGCGCGGGGAGGCCCCGCCCGGGATGGCGCCGCTGCCGCGGGGCACGCTGGGAGTTGGAGTTCCGGGGGGGCTGCGCGAGGCACTGTCCGCGTGTCACCGACACCAGTGTCACCACCAGTGTCACTGTGCCAGCAGTGTCTCCGTGCTTGGTGTTCCTGTGGTGTCCCTGTGCCCCTCAGTGCCACTGTGAGTGTCCCTGTGCCCACGGTGTTGCTCATTGTCACTGTGACTGCAGTGTCCCTGTGCCGGGTGTTCCCACGGTGTCCCTGTGCCCACGGTGTCCCTCATTGCCCAGTGTCCCTTTGCCCGGTGTCCCTGTGCATGGTGTCCCTGTCCCCACGGTGTCCCTGTGCCCCTCGCTGTCACAGTCAGTGTCCCTGTCCCCACGGTGTCCCCGCGCACCCGGTGTCCTTCATGAACGGCTCCAGTGTGGGTCCTGTCCATGGGGTCACAAGTCCTTCCTGCTCCAGCCTGGGCTCCTCTCTCCACGTCCCTGCCAGGACCCTGCTCCGGGTGGGCTTCCCACGGAGTCACAGCCTCCTTCAGCCATCCCCGTGATCCTGGGGGTCCTCCAGGGGCTGCAGGTGGATCTCTGTTCCTCCAGGGGCTGCAGGTGGATCTCTGCCCCCTGTGAACTTCCAGGGGCTGCCCCTGCCTCACCCACACCCACCCCTTCCTTCAGGAGAGCGACCGGAGCATCCCACGAGCTGTTGGAAAGACTCAGCCGCTCTTCCCTCCCGGGCTTTGCCCTGCTCTGACCCGGGGGAACCTCCAGAACGCCCCGAGCTGTTCCGTCCCCTCGGATAAACCAGATCCAAACCCTTCCCGAGGCAAAGGACCCTCCGGGTGAAACGCAGGCTGTTCTGTCTGGGTGACCTTGAGCAATTCGCTCAGCTATCGGGAAACGGTTCAACTCCTCCTCTCCTTAACCCTTCCCTCTTTTTTTTTGGAAGAGCTTCGCAGAGCCGGTGCCGGTTCGAGTCGGCATTTCCCGCGTGGGGAGCGGTTCGGGTGGTGGCTGCCGTGGAAATAGGAAGCCTGGCGTCGATGGAAAGCCGCGGGGAGCGTGCAGGGCAGGATTCGAGCAGTAGATGCTGCTCTTGCTCCGACCTGAAAGCGAAGCGACGATGTCGAAACAGAGCCGGAATAAGGCTCTTTGGGAAATATTGCAGAAATATTCCACCAGCGGCGCGACAGTGTCACCAACAGGCTTCACTGGGGCTCTTGGGATGATGTACCCGGGCTGAAGTTTCGGAATGGATTTATCTGAAGTGGAATTCCATATCCCAAACTTTTTTTTCAGTGTAATTCTGGGGCAATCCATGATCCTGCAGCACTTTAAAACACAGTAAATCTACCTTTTTTGGTGTCACTGAAGTCACTGAGTGCTGAGGGCACTTTAATGAGCTGGGGGATTGGGTGAAAGCCTTATGAACTTTCGAAGAATTGCAATCAGAGCACCTCTCACAGGTGAATTTTAGACAAGTAAAATCCCACAGGTGATGAAGAGTTTGTACCTTTATGCCTTATGCTGGAAGGAAAACATAAACCCTGAAAAAGCCTGTCCCCATGTTTGAGTATCTGTCACCATAATGGGGTCCTCCATAATATACAGGGATTTTTAGGAGTTTTTTTTTTTCCCCTGCAAAGCCATTAAATTCCCCATACTGCCCATCACTCACATCAGACCTTTACCCACGTCCCTGGTTTCAGTTTGGTCACTTAATGAGCCCCTGAACATTCCCAAGCTCAGGAGAAAGAGCCTGAAGAACATTCATTTGTGGCTCTGCCCTTGGAGCATCGTGACCTTCAAACGCTCCTTCTTAGTCACGTGAGGATGTAAAAAACACCCCTTTTTTCTCTCCTGTTGAGTCAGACCACAACTGAAAGCAGGCAAAGTAGATATTTTATTTTCCTGCCACTGAGAAGTCTCTAGAAAGGAGGTGTTGGTTCTGCAGCCAGTCGTGTGAGGGGTCCTAAAACCTGCACCAAGATTAGACCAGCCCATGGATAAATAAATTGTAGAACGGAGAGGCAAAAGGGAGAGGAGGTTTTTTGGGACTTTCAAGAAGGGACTGCTTTCCTAGCTCAGCTGAAACAGGAGCTGTGGCTGTTGTTCCTCACCTGTTATCCAGCAGTTCCACCCATCTGTCTCCCTTCGGCCCAGCCCGGAATTGGGCACGGCAGAGCCCCAGAGGAGCCGGGGTGTAGCTGAGAACAAGTTCCTGACGAGTTCCTCTGCAACAAGTTTGATGTTTACAACAAGTGGAGGAGTTTTCCCCTCTCCTGGTGTTCCAGTTCATCCCAGAGAACCCCCCCAAGAGCCGCCCCCCGAGTGCCCAACTCGCCTCCCCATCGCGACCGCGCCTCGTTCCCGAGGCTGCTCGAGGAAGGGGTTTGTTTGTGGTGGTTTTGTTGCGGTGTTGGGTTTTTTTCCCCCCCTCTCTCCCCTTTATCTTCCACAGGAGCAGTCTGTGCCCTGGCTGAATCCCATCCAGGTGGTTGTTTTCCATTCCTGTGCTCCACAAGTTCCGCTTGGGCAGGTAAGTTCAAGGGCTCCCCGGGGACCGAGCCCGTCCCACCCACTGAAATCTCCCTGCCCAGGCACGACCTGACTCACTGTACCATCACAGGAGGGGTTTTCACTCAGTGGCAGGGGACAGAAAACAGTTGTGGTTTGTTTTTTTTTCTTTTTCCCCTCCAAACCGGAAAAAATGATTGTAAACCCACAAAAAGGGTGAGGGGAATTCCAAGGAGGAGCAGTTTCAATCGAGTTGGGCAACTGAACTCGCTGCCCTCGGCCTCGCAGCGCTCCGCTGAGAGCTCTTTGTGGGAATATTTCCAAACTCAAGCACCTCCACCTCCGTTTTCCCACCCTTTCAATCTAGTGTTGTTATGTAGGGGAATGATGAATCGTTGGGATTTGACTGTGTGTGTGATGTTGGAGGGGTGCTCACGCTGCTTTGGTTAATCTTCCGTGGAACCACCAAAATCTCTTGTAAAAGGGGGAGTAAACCCAGGACTGGGTGCCTGGAGATGGAAAAGAAATAATCTGAATTCTTTTAAGATACCCTAGAAAGCCTGGGAGAATTAATTTAAGGGTGAGCTGTGATATGATTTTTGTAGTTTGGTGAAATAACCACTGACCTGCAATGGTTTAGACTAGAAAAGGGGGTCTGGGCCCACTTGGGCTGTCCCAGAGGTTTTTTGAATTAATTGACTTATTTCACTTATTTCGCTTATTTGACTGTCTAAAGAGCTTGTCCATGAATTATCAAAGGTAGAAAGAACTGGTTTGGGAAAACATGTGAATAAAAGAGAAGGGGGGGAGGTACCAACAGCTGAGTTTTACCATTTCCCACCTTGGCAGAGGAGCAGTGAGGAACATGGCACTGAGACTCGGGAGATTTGGGATCTATTTTCAGCTCCACGTTGGACCTGCTGATTGGCTTCTAATTATTCTGCACCTCAGTTCCCCCATCTGTAAAAAAAAAAAAAAAAAAAAAAAAAGGCAATTTATCCTTTATAAATAGCTGTAAATTCTGTTGATGAAGCACAGTTTATTAATAGCAATGGTACCTTCTCACTGCTGCCATTAAAAAAAACCCAATTGTAAATTCACAAGTGTCAGTCAAATGAGCAAGTGGCTGTGGGGGAAAGGAGGCAGAGGAGGAGCATCATGTCTGGTTCCATATTAGGGCTCCACTGCCACAAGAGGGAAGCCAACACTAATAAAATAACTTTATTTGTGCGAGGTTTTATCCATTTCAGGGCTGTTTGTCTTCTCTTTCCCCGTAGCAAACTTGCTCATATGTCAGAGACTGAAGGACGTGACTCCACATTCCGTTTGCTCAATGCCCTGTGAAATGAATTTCATGGATTTGCCTCCTTGAATGGCAAATCCATAAACCTGAAACAGAAAGTTGGGACAAACCTAAGCTGGTTGTTTTCTTAGTGGATTTAAACAGCCCACGTTCAGGGAAAGGGAGGGGGGGGGTTGGTGAACGTGGTGCTGGAAAAAAATAGAGATGGTGTTTTCCCCTCCTTTGGGTGAGAAGTTAAAGACTTTTCTGGGACTCAGAGACACAACTATCTGTAGTGGCTCTTACCCCACAGTAATGACAAATTATTCCAGCAGATCTTCGGACTCTCAGCCTGGTTTGCAATGCGTGTGAAGCCCCTTGTCTCCGGATTTATTTATGGTGGCAAACCTCACCTGGGTTACCCTGCTGCAAACCACTGACTGTGGGAGCTTCACTGAGTCATTTCCCTCGCAGGGAGGTACCTGGGAAATGTCACCCTTGCTCAGATCACGTGCTGAAGGCACAAACCCAGTGGGTCAAGATTTGTGATGTTTCAGTTTGCAGCCAGACATTATAAAATATGTGCTGAAAAACGTCAGAATAAAGTGGTGAAAGAAGTGATTTTTAAAATAATCTGGGTATGACAAAGAAAATAAATGGGATTCACCCACCACATTTCTCTGGTGGACCTTTTCCCGGTCTGTTTTCTGGATTGCTGCCAGACACAAAGGTATGAAAGTCCCTATTCAGATTTCTACAGAGTGTTAGGAATTTTTTTTTTTTCCCCTGCAGGAGTGGCCAGGCCTTGCAATGAGTGTCCCAGGGAGGTGGTGGAGTCCCTGTGTGTGGGAGTGTCCCAGAGGGGTCTGGTTGTGGCCCTTGGGGACGTGGATTAGGGGTGATCCTGGTGGTGCTGGGTGAGGGTGGCACTGGATGAGCTTGAATTTCTCTTCCAGCCTTGACCCCGTGGTTGCTGCCATATGACACTGGTCAGGGGTCATAATTGTCAGTGTTTGGAAGGGGTTTTTGAGGAATGGCAGGAATGGGAAACCAGGAGCAATGCAGAAACCCCACCTATGCAGAGGTTTCCTAAGCAGACCCCGAGGGTGTTCCCTGCAAGTGCAGACAGGGAATCAGGGCAAGGTTGGGAAAGCCACAGGCATGGATTGCAGTCCCCAAAGGACATTTTCGTAACCAGCT